TATGTAATGTTGAAATGTTTAAATAAATATTAATTTATTAATAATGTACTAGTAATAACATAGTAATAGTATTATTATTTATTATATTTTATTAACAATAGTATAATATTATATTAATAATAAAATAATATTATTTTTGAAAATATTATATAATATATTGCAATGAAAAATTAATATACCAAAATAATTAATTTTTATTTGAAAATAGTTAACAATTATAATGTAATATAATACATTAAAGTATAATATAATATTATAATACTTATACAATTTTATATTGTATTATATTTACTATCATAATATATTTAATACTAATATTATAGTAGGTCAAATAAGCGTTGACCAAAAACACTCAGCATTGTATTTTCAAAATACTTTATGGAAAAACACATCACCATTGTGTTTTTTAACAAAAACACAACATGGAAACAATATGGTATCCAAACAAAGCCTAAAACTTTGGTGAAGATTGAAAATACCATTAAACAAGCTAATGAGTCTAAAATCTTTGGGGTTGCATGCCACTTTGATCTTAGGGATGAGAGTTATGAAAGATTGATTAATCCTGTGGAGGGGGAGAGCATCATGATGCAGAGATTGGAAGAAACAGAAGATTTCATTTTCAATAAGTGAACAAATTTTTTTGTAGAAGAGGATAATCATGTCGTCTAGCCTAGGGAATTTATCTAGGTGTAATCCAAACACTGCAGCTTTAATTTCCTCAAGGAAAAAGGATGATTCTAACATGAGGAGATCTATGTGGTCTTGGGGATATAGGAGTGGCCAATCAGGTTCAAACAGAGATTTATCATGGGTTGAGAAAAGGTTGGAGAAGTAGTCATAGAAGCTGCTTGTTTATCCTTTTAAGAGATGTGAAGATTGCCTTGGAAGTGGAGGTTTGGGATAAAATTTCTTCTTCTACGGTCTGAGGCCAATTTATGGAAGAAAGAGATGTTGGAGTACCCCTTTTTAAGCCATTGCACTCTCGAACTTTGACGACAATATGTCTCCTCATAATTGGCTATGTTGAGGAGTTTAGCTTTGATGTCAGATTTAACCTTGATCTCTATCTCAGAAAGAGGTCCGGATTCCTCTAGGGAGGAAAGAGAGTTTAGGGCAACTAGAATTTTGAGTTTGTTCTGTTTCATGGATCTGAACACATGTTTTTTCCACCACTTGAGATGATGTTTAAGGAGTTTGAGTTTCAATGGCAGAGAATCGGATGATCCTCTACTATAAAAGGAGTTCCAGTAGGAGGTGATAAAAGAATGGAATGAAGGATAAGATATCCATGAAATAAGTTTTTTCAAATCTAAAGATGCATGGGATGAAATGCTTCCAGAGTCTAGGATGATAGGTAGGGACATGAGCTTCAAAGTTGACGGAAATAAGGAATCTGTCTCGAATCTAGCCATGATAGAGTTTATTCTCATGTTCGAGCAAGTGAAGTTTCTTCCACTAAGAGGAAGATCCATAAGGAAAGTGGAGTGATCTATCAAGGATTTGAAAGAATTAATATCTCTAATTGATCCTCTTCTACTGCTTCTTTTATCTAGACTAAGAGTCATGTCAAAATCACCAAACACGACCCAAGGCAAGGAGAGAGAGCTACTGATTCTCTTAAGTTCCCACCAACAGACCTCTCTATCTTCTTTAGCATCAGGAGCATAAACAGTGGAGACTACGAATTTTCAATTTGAAGGAATATGAGTGAGGATGGCAGTGATAGAGAAAATATTGATATAAGGGAGTCATTCTAACCTAGTAATACTCCACCTCTGCATTCAGAGGCTTCTAAATTTAGCCATTAAGAAATTCTATGACTACCATGGGCTTTGAGGGTATTCACTCTAAAGCAGCTGAGTTTGGTTTCTTGCAACCCTACAATATCAAATTGGAAGAATATGTTGTAGTTTTGACCAGCCTACATTTGGAGGTATTGTTAAGCCCTTTAATATTCCATTAACTGATCTTCATAAATGGAACGAGGAGGAAGACCACTTAGGAGGTAGTGAGCTACAAGGCCTAAGGTGTGGGCATAGATCTTACCTTTTCTAAGGCTTTGAGCTTATCCAGCCCTATGGGGTCAATAGGTTACTTGATTCCACAATTAATCATAAGTGAGTTTGTATTGAAATTCTAATTTTTCAATCACTCATACAGATGCATGAAGAACTAAACTTTATTACAAAACTAACAACCTCATAGCTTTCAGTCCTTTATGCAAAATGACATTTTTAAGGAAGAATTAATCCAAAGGGAAAAGAGAAGACTTACGGCCACTTATTGGATTGTGTATTCCTCTTTTTTCAAGTAAAAAACTGAGATTACTTAAACTTTAAAGCGAGATAAGAGCACCCATTTTTTCCTGAATGAAAGCTAGAAGGCATCACAGTAAAATCCTTTATAAAGTAGATGAAACTAGATTAATTGATGGAGAGATCAAAACAGAGCTTATTGATTACTATAAAAATCTCATGGGTACTGCTATTGGAGTTCAAAATTCAAATATCTCTGTTATTCACAATAACTTTGCCTCTTATCTACTAATATTAATATGCTCAATGCTCTTGTTTCTCATACTGAAATCAAAAGTATAGTCTTCTCTATGGATAATGATAAAGCTCTAGGATCAGATTGGTATAGTGTTGCTTTTTTCAACACATATTGGGATATTATAAAAGATGATCTCTTTCAAGCTATTGAGGAGTTCTCCCGATCTAAGACTTTGTTGGGTATGATCAATTCCACTTCTGCAACTCTTATTCCCAAAGTTCGTTGCCCTAAGCTTGCGTATGAATTTAGGTCACTTGCTTGCTGTAATCTTCTCTACAAAATCATAACAAAAGTCCTAGCCAATAGATTACAATCTACTACGTGTTATATTATCATTGAATCTTAGTGTGCTTTTGTTAAGGGCAACAACATCCTGTTCTCACATGGGATAGTTCAACACTATAGTAGAACTAATATCTCATCTAGAGTAATTGTTAATTAAAATGGATATAAGAAAAACTGTTGATACAATAAGCTAAACCTTTCTCAAACCTATACTTGAAGGATTTGGTTTTCCAACTAAGTACATTGATTGGGTTTATGCATGCATATCTACTCCAAAATATATTTTAACTTTTCAATGGTTACTTGCATGGATATTTTGATGGCGCGCAAAAAGGGTTTGAGACAATAGGATCCCCTCTCCCACTATTTGTTTGTTATTGGCATGGAGCACCAATCTAGAAAATTGTCTTTTCTTAAGTAGGACAATAGCTTCAAGTGACATCCTAAATGTTCTAAACTCAATATCTCCTATCTGATCTTTGCTGATGACCTTCTACTATTTAGTAGAGGGAATTTGCTATGAGTTCAAGAAATTTATGATTGCTTAAATAGTTAGTGCAGTGTTAGGGAGCCAATACTAGTAAAAGTTCTATCTTTTTTGGTGGTGCTAATCTTGCAACAAAAGACACTATTCTCACTACTTTGGAATTCAATGATGGTTTCCTGCCCGTAAGATATCTTGGCATGTGACTGCTATGCAAAAGGCTCTCCTATCTTGATGACAACCCTCTGATTACAAAAATTACTAAGCAGTTTCAAACATGGATGAAAAGAAGAACACTTTCTTATGCTGGAAGGCTACAACTCATTAAAAGTGTCATTTTGGGCATTCAAACCTTTTTGACTAGCAGACACATTCTTCAAAAGAAAGTATTCGTAAAGATTGATACGTTATATAGTGGTTTGCTTTGAAGAAAGTCAAATAATGCAAGAAAGATCTCACTTGTGGCTTGGAGCAATGTTTGTCAATCTAAAAGCAAAGGGGGTTTATTTGATGCACAAAACCGTTTACACTTCGGAAGTGGAATAAAAAAGTTCATTGAAAAAGAAAAAGGGCAATCCCATTAAACATAGTAGACATGTTTTTTTATTGAACTTTTTTTTACATGGGAGGGCGTACTAACAAATATACAATAGCTGAAGGGGTTTTCCTGAAGTTTACACTAAAAAACTGTTAAAAAACAAAAGCACTTTATTATTTATTAATTAACAAGTATTAACCACAGTTCATTAATTGAACTTCATTAATTAATCCCAATTTTCAAAAGAAAACGACTACCCATGTCTCCCTCTTCCCTCCGTTTTTTTCCCTTCTTCGGTTTTCTTAGATTTTTCTCCCCCTATAAACCCTCAAAATCTCCAAAATTTCCGATTATTTTAGCCCTCGGAGATCATCCCGATCTCCCGTTGCTTCTCCATCCAAAATCCTAACTCCGATGAAGAGATCGAGAAGCGACGAATCCTTCGCCTTCCGAAACCCTAGAAAATGGCGCCCCTCTCACTTCATCCTCGTCGCCGCCGCCGTCTACATCCTCCTTGTCTCTCTCAGGTCCCACCACGTGTCAACCAGCGGCGGTGAAACCGTAGAAAGCGGGTTGGACTCTGATCCGCCACCGGAACCCGTCAAGAACCCGTTAAGCTGGTCCGGTAATCTAACGGTGATCGAGACAATGGCCCAAGATGCTTGGAATTTGGGGGCGAAAGCCTGGGAAGAGATTGAGAAGTATCAAAGTGATAGTTTGAACTTAGGTCAGAAAAAGGTGGAATCTTGCCCGTCGGAAAATATTTTAAATGGGAAGAAACTGGGGGTGAATGAGGCGGAGGAAGTGATGCTGTTGCCTTGTGGATTGAAGGTGGGTTCGTCGATTACAGTGGTTGGCACTCCAAAGAATGATGATAAGAAGAATATGTCGCAGTTTATGGTGGAGTTGCAGGGGTTGAAGGCGGTGGATGGAGAGGATCCACCGAGGATATTGCATTTCAATCCAAGGTTGAAGGGGGATTGGAGTAATAGGCCGGTTATTGAGCTTAATACATGTTATCGGATGCAATGGGGGAAGCCAATGAGGTGCGAAGGGTTCTCATCGGATTGGGATGATGACGCAGGTATGATTCTTGTTTTTTATTTTCGGTTTGCTCTATAATTAATTTGAGTGGCCCTGATGTTGTGGGGAGGGCGGGGGGGGGGGGGCGGGTATTGGTCTATCGTTGGGCGCTGCTATGTAGAATCGAAGCGCGGGAGGAGGCTGAGCACGGCCGGGTGGTTTAGCCGCTGTAGGCGTGGATGTCCCAGCCGGTTCGAGTCTTTATGTTGGAAACATTGATACATGTGGAAGAATATAAAATGATAACCCTCAATCCTCATTCCTTACCACATGTCACATATTCAAAGCAGAGTTTAAAAAAAACACCAAGTGAATTCAGATCTAGGTCCATGGAAAGGGTGCTCAACCTGCAATGTTTGTGTCTAAAGTTATAACTGTCAGCATCACCACAATGTCAAGGTTTTGGTGTAGTGGGAGAGTTAGTTGGGAGTATAAGGATCACGCATGTCAGCAAGTTAATTGCTTGGTCTGCTTTTGTCAGACTGTATTTTTATGCGAGTCCATCTCAATTGTGAAGTTTAACAGCTCTAGCCTGCATGGGACTAGTACATGTCTTTGAAAAATTATGTTTTGTTTGCGTCTTCGTACTATATGTTTTGTGCATAGGTACTGAAGCAAGGATAACCTTAAGCAACTTATGGCAAAAGCCTTATTCGTTACTAGGTTGTCTAAGACTCTAAATCACTTCAGGTTGTTGGGTTGTGACACTTCTAGTGAAGTGCTTTTCTAGCTAGACAATAATACAGAGATTTGAAATTGTTACCTTCTGACTGATGAATTGTATGAAAACTCAAACTAAGTGGTTCCTCAACCTTCTCTACTTCCCTCCTCTTGGTTAAGTTGGCAATACAAAAGAGACTATCACAGATTATACAAGCAGTTTTTATAAGGACAAAGAAAATTTGTGTTACCAAGGAGTCACCTTCTATATGTCTGCACATTTTCTATTCCATTCTTATTGGTAGGGACACAAATTGTGCATGCTAGGTCTGGTTGAGGTATAATCCTAGCCAACCTGTTCTGCAAATGTTGACCTAACAAAATCAACCTTTATGCTCGAAACTAACCCTAGACAGATCCAACTCAATCTCTAAAAAGATTAATTTGGGTATTGTTGGGCTAGGTTGATTTGAATAGCATTGAACTTGAGGAGACATGATAACACGAGTCATATAATAATATAATGTATATGATATACTAAAAATCAAGATAAACCTCGATAAACCTCTAAATTTAACAACCAAAGAATAGAATCTCTATGATAAATTGATAATGCCCAAAAAAGTAACTGGATGGTTCACCTATGGAACAAAATCATTAATAGATATTTAGTTCATTGTTTCTCCTTCATAATGAAAACTGCTGTTATGAAGATTGAAACATCTTAGGCATCAAGTTTATAAGAGTGGAAAAGACAATTTGAAGCCGGTATGATAGTTAAATATCTGAATCAAGGATTGGCAGACCATGAGTGTGCATATCATTTTGTTTATTTCTACCTCTGCTATAAATTGTGTTTATTTTCTGCATAGTGTTTTGCTTGATGATAGAGCATCAGGCAGTTCTTCCATGTTGAGGTTTATTTGGCTAAAAACTACAATTTCAAATTCTTATTTTGGACAGTCGATGGATACAACAAATGTGAGAGATGGGAACGTGCTGATACTTCTGACTTGAAAGAGTCCAAGACAACTTCATGGTTTAGTCGATTCATTGGTCGTGCAAAGAAGCCAGCGATAACATGGCCTTTTCCTTTTGCAGAGGGCAAGCTGTTTGTCATGACGCTTCAAGCTCGCAAGGAAGGATATCACATCTATGTTGGAGGTCGTCATATAACTTCATTTCTGTATCGACCAGTATGTATTATCTTGTCTCTTTACTGACTGTTTGTTACATTTCAGTGTTCGAGTTGTCTTATGAATTGAGCATAAATGTATGCATGGGAAAATAGAGCTACTCCTGCACCTCTTACTTTTTTATAATATCCTCAACTCAATAGTCTTCATGTTATGTTAATTGGCCATAACTCATTGCTTCTTCCAGAAAGTTGGTTTCTTATATGGATACTGTTGTTCTTCTAGGGATTTATTCTTGAAGATGCAACAGGTTTAGCAATCAAAGGAAATATAGAGGTTCATTCAGCATACGCCACTTCTCTACCTACTAGCCATCCCAGTTTTTCAGTTCACAATGTCCTGGAAAAGTCAGAAAGGTGGAAATCGCATCCTGTTCTTCGAGGTCCTGTTCATCTTTTCATTGGTATTCTGTCTGCTACCAACCATTTTGCTGAGCGCATGGCTGTGAGGAAAACCTGGATGCAGTATCCTGATATTAAATCATCATACGTGGTTGCTCGTTTCTTTGTTGCATTGGTACGTTTTGGACATGTTTTATTTTTTCCATTATATTAGTTGATGCAAAATCTGAGATTATGCTTTTGTTTTATTGTTGTAATACTTGCTAATTATGAGGTAGGAACAAGAAATGTCAATGTTATCAATGCGTGATGCACAATGGGTGGCACAAAATCCCTTTACGTGCACATGTGCAAGGTGCAACGCGATGCGCATGCTCGAGTGAAGCGAGGCACATACCTCATACATAATTTTTCAACATAGATAATCAAGCATGAAAGCACGTGTATGAATTTTCACATAAGAAGTATGTCAAGATAAATAATGTCTACTTACCAAATCACAAAATAAGATCTTAGTTCATAATGCTAACACACTCGTCATAGTAATAAAGTTCATAATTTTCCAAGTCAAAAGTCAAATCAAGACTAATATTAAAGCAAAATTGAATGGTTAACAAGAACAAATTAGAGCCCTCAATTGGGCAACTACAATGGCCTTATGGGTTTATTTTTCTTCTTGGGATATGCTTATCAGGTATAAAGACTCGATTGAAATGTTAAATAACAAAAATATGGGAGGTTATGCCTTGCTTGCACCTGTGGGAAGCGCCCTTGTGCATGGCACTTGGAGGTAAAAAAGGCCTTGCCACCTCTGATGTGGAGTGCTTGATCTCCATCGTGCATCACAGGATGCGTGAGGCACAATGAGGCGCATGCCTTTGATAACACTGAGAAATGCCATAAGAACATGAAACTTCTAATTACCATAAACCTTCAGTCTTTGCTTCTGGTAGAAGATTAAAACCTGACACAGGAAATAGAGAATGGTTTGGGTGCATTTGGGTTTATTTTCATGAAAACAATAATAGTTATCTTCTAAAATGGAAATTGCTGCCAGAATATTATTACATAGAGTTCCACATCCTTAAAACTGTAATAGTTGATCGAAAAATTCCATAATAACTGCAACCTTAATGAAAATGCACCAGCAATCATATGATAGAGAACAACTAAGTATATTTTGTGAGCAAGATGGAAGAGGTACATAAATGTGATATCCTGCACTTCTAGTCTTGGACATGTCTCACTTGAGCGAACAAGGAATTAAAAACAGTTTCTTTCTAAATCAGGTGATATGTTACTGAACTATGCACACTATAATTATTCGTGGATGATAGTGTTACTTTATGAGATGGGGACTACTATGCAGGATAATATATGTCAATAAGAGACTAATTTACTTAGTACTATGAGAAAGTGGTGTTATCGATTAATCCTGATGAGTACACGAGGGAAGACAACCAAGTAATTCACCCTTGTGATAAATGCAACTTTTATTCTACTTCACAATACCTGAACTTGGGATTGCAAGAAAGATTTGGAAAACATGCGACTAGATGTGGTTTTAAGCAGGAAAAAATGATTATTAAAAGAAAATTTCAATTTTGGAAAGCTTCACGATGACAGTTATTTTAATGTTATATAGCACTCCATTGGTTATAACTTGGTCATGCTTTTGCCAAACTTCTTCCAAGATATATTGTTTTCCAATGGCGACATTTTAATTTTTTTCCGTTACATGTATGTGCTTACAATTCTTACATGACTTTCTTACATACATACTAACATGTAGTTGATTAAAACATGTACTTACAATTCTCAGATGTTTTTTGTACATACATACTAACATGCAATTACAAATGAGTAAAACATGCATGCATATATATTGGCTTTTTCACTTTTGATTGGGATGTGGCTGACTGCTGACACGCACACGCACACAGAGGCATGCACACACGCATGCACAAGCGTGCATCACACACTCGTGCCACACACACAAGCACAGACGCACGTACGCACACACACAAGCATGCGTATGCACCCACGAATGCATGCGCGCGCATCTACACACACGCGCACACGCAGGCATCTACACATACACGCGCGCACGCGCTCGTCTACACACACATGCGCGCACTCGCGCACGCGCGCACGCACGCACTCACATGCACATGTACACGCACACGCACACGCATATGCACACGCATGCGCACACATACATCGCCTTTCATGTGCATAAACATGCATCGCTTTGCATGCATGTGAATGAAATGTGCCAGACCATCAAGAAGAGAAGGAAAGAGGAAGAGATTGTGTATTTGTACATTTTTGTTAGTAAGTATTTTTTTGTAGTTCTTGTTTATGTATGCATGTGTTTGTAGTTTGTACATATATTGATAGTAGAAAGAGTAGAGATTTAAACCAAGTTATGAAACTGAGTAATTGAGATTTACATATCTCTAGAGGTTATAGTATTCATAATCTGATCTTTAATTTTCTTAAATTTAGATATTCAATTGTAACCTTATGAAAGTTGCTAGTGATCTTTTCATAGTTGATGTTTTGAAAAGAGGAATTTAAAATGTTAATTTTGGATGCATTTGGATAATTTAGACTATTTTAGCCAAATGCCGATTCTACATCTTCAGTGGATGTTGGCAAAATCTTGTTAGAAAACTTTACTCTTAGATTTTTTTGATGATGAGTTCACGGATAACTTTTGTCTCCTCACTTGTGTATATCTATTTGGCTTCTTTATTGGCTGCTAAAAATCTTATTTGTCTTTGAAACGTTTTTTCTTGCTTTCGGGACTAAGGAAGCTAGTGCTGAAGTGATCATGTTGGGAACCGAGGAGGTTTTGGACACGTTTTTGTAATCTCATTGTATTGTCCCAAGAAGTCCTAGTAGGTCACTTGTTGCGATACTATTGCGGAGACCACAAATTCCTGAGAAGTGCATCCAACCATAACTCGTGGGGGCTATAATGTTGAACACTCGATGCTTTGTACTATCCTAGTTTAAGACTTGCTTGACTTAATGGATGCTGACCATGTCTTATTAAATACCCTACCGATGACCTAGTTGGTACCACGGTAATATACCCAGCCTGGACCTGATCATTTTCAAGACAAAACATCGATTATCTAGTAACTAAACCATATCTTAATAAGAATGCTCACTTGTGTCAGCTCAAGGTTTTGCTATGAGGCTTAGAATTATATGATACGTTTCTATGATGCATGTGCGAAAGGATGTCTCATATATGGCATAAATACAAGTGCTACTAAGGCCTAAGTTTGCAATGATATAATCTAACCAAGCTAACCTGACGCTATAAGGTGTCATCTTCTTGTGAAGGGGGTGTTTGGGACGGCTTATTTTTACAAGCTTTAAAGCTATGTCTGCTTTTGGCTTTTTAAGCTATGTTAGCTTTTGGTGGCCTGAGTAGGACAGTTTGTTTGGTCAAACCTACCTTATTTAGGTGAGTTGTAAGCTATCTTTTAAAAGCTATCCTTATTTTTTTTATATGAGGCATGAAACCTAGTTTATTAGGGTGTTACCAAATAGGTAGAATGATAGATATGGAAAAATTAGCTTAAAAGCCCCTTTAACCAAAACATAAGGCCCCTCAAGCACCTTCTAAGTTTCATGACAGGTCTACATACTCCTGACTGGCTGTCATAGTTTTATATTGAAACCACTTCCTCTCATGGTTGCATGACTAGAAAATTTTGGCACGTCATACCGGTTAACTGAACCTCTGAGTTGAATATGACCGAATAGTTAATCAAACAATTAACAAACTATTTGTTTAATCATTTGGTTTTTTTTCCTCTACTTAGGAGGTTGTGGGGAGATGGAATTCAGCTTTTTTTTATTTTCTATGATATATATTCCTTGAAACCAGAAAAATATAAAGATATTAAAGATTGACCTGGTTTGCCTGCACCTTCCATCTCACAGGTTTGTTCGCTGAAAAGCTAATATTAATTCCAGCAAAGATATTGGAAGCGATCAGTAAATATTTGTTTATCTGTGTTTTTCTGTTTATGTGCATGTACAGAGTCCAAGAAGGGGAGTAAATGCTCTACTGAAGAAGGAAGCAGAATATTATGGAGATATTGTGATCTTACCATTTATAGATCATTATGAGCTCGTGGTTCTTAAAACCATTGCTATTTGTGAGTATGGGGTAAGTGATATATTTTCTCGAACCTCAGGTGACTTTCTTTTTTGTTGTTTGTAAGCTCACTGCTCGCTGGAAAGCTCTTTAGACCCCTTTAATAATTGTTTGATTGGACTTTTCCTGCAGACTCGCAATGTTACTGCAGCATATATTATGAAGTGCGATGATGATACCTTCGTTCGTCTAGATGTCATATTGAGAGAAATGGATAAACTTTCAAACAAAAACTCTCTTTATATTGGTAACCTTAATCTCAGGCATAGACCTCTCAGAAATGGAAAATGGGCTGTTACATATGAGGTGAGTTGTCAGCCTTCCGTTTTCTCCTCTTTTCTTTTCTTTTTAGAGCTTTTTTTCAGCTTAATCCTCTAGAAATCACCACCGTGGCCTTTTGCATTTATCACTTGTAGAATTTTTAGCTGCCCAGAATACCGGTAATAGAGGGCATCCTTGAGTCCTTTGACTCCCTAGCAGCCGGATTTTCTGAACTTTTGACATAAACCTACGTGTTATTTAATTGGTCATTTGGTTTTAATACCCATAGTTTAGAGTGTTGGGGCCATTGCTTTGATACATGGGACAAGGATGATGACCATAGTGTAATGTTTTTTCTAGTCTTAATTTTTTTTTTTTTGATGACGAGGGAACCTCGGTCAGCACCCCCACTTAAACTCCCATTGGAGTCCGTTGCACCCCGGTTCGAATCCCCCCTATCCCCCCAACAATCGCAAGGAGCTACCCCTTATTACACTTAACCATAGTGTAATGTTTTTTCTAGTCTTAATTGCGGATACACATTGTCAAAGGACCCTGCCACTACGCCAAAGCTCTAATGTTGTGGTGAGAGTTGAAGGTTATTAATTTTATATTCTAACACACCTCTTGTATATTACGATGTAGTTACTTATACCCAATAATTTTTGTTAGCACTTGACTCTCTGAATCTCAGAGGACATTTTTTTGCCTTGAATTTGGGGGGACTTTTAGTGTTTTTTTCCCGGTTAAACTAAGGCGAAAAATAATTTATCATCATGTGGATCTCACGTAACATTTCAAGCAAACTTGAGAAATAATGCTATTTGGAGGTCATGGATTAGACATTCGTTCCACGCCTATGCTACCTCTACATGCTATTAGAATTTCCTTTCATTCTTTTCCTTTGGGGGGCGGGGTGTTTTAATTGCTACAGCCTCATATTAGAAGGGGGTTTATGTGCAATTAAACCTTTTATTAAATTTACATTGTTTTGTAGATTTAGTCATTTCCCGCTTTGCTTTCTCATCTATGAAAATGTTTCATCATCTGATTCATACCTTATTTTCTTACAAATTTCCATGGGAAAAAAATTGTAGGAATGGCCAGAAGACATATATCCACCGTATGCCGATGGACCGGGCTACATAATCTCAAATGACATCGCAACATTTATAGCCTCCAAACATGCAAATCAAAGACTAAGGGTGAGGACGATGAGGCTAAAAATATAAGATAAGGCTAACCAGAGTACTAATTTTTATATGTAGGATCCTTCTAAGTTTCATGCAAAAATAGTACAATGTTTGTAGTCTACTTAGCATTAACCCGATAATATACAGGACCCTCAAGCTTTCACCACACTTAACGCTCCAATATTCTTGCAGATATTCAAGATGGAAGATGTGAGCATGGGCATGTGGGTTGCAGAGTTTAATGCTACTTCCAGTGCTGTTCAATACACACACAGCTGGAAATTTTGTCAATATGGGTGCGTGGAGAATTACTACACCGCACATTACCAGTCACCGAGACAAATGATCTGTTTATGGGGTAAATTGGCTATGGGTCAGGCACAGTGCTGCAACTTTTGAAAGCATTTCGGTTGGCTTTACTTTGATTCATTTTAGTTGTGTACCATTCATTCTTCATTCTTATGGCAGGCTTACATTTTTACTGTATGTAAATTCAAACAAATCTCACTTGTAATTTTAGATGAGGGAAGAGCATACTGTACTTATGATTAAATTTTTTTAATTATTTCAATGCATTTTAGATACCACAAATTAATCATTTACTATTCCACACTTTGTTCGCTCCTTCTGTTCCTTGTTCTACTTTTGTGAAGGTTAGTGATGGACTGATATAGAGATGTTTACCTCGAATACCTTGAAACTTAGACGAAAGAACTAGCTCTTTATGGTTTAAGATCTAACCCCTAAAACTAGTACTTTTGTGGATCAAGACCATGTTCTACTTTTGTGAAGGTTAGTGACGGACTGATATAGAGATGTTACCTTAAATACCTTGAAACTTAGACGAAAGAACTAGCTCTTTATGGTTTAAGGTCTAACCCCTAAAACTAGTGCTTTTGTGGATCAAGACCATGCCACTTCTATTTCGAAGTTGCCAAATATATCCTGAGCTTCAATCCAAATCTTGAAGCAGAATATGCTCACTTAAACTCGGTGATTCGCGGGTTTTTTTTTTTTGGACAGCGCTAACTTTTGGGCCTATTTGACAATTGAGTCAAGAAAAAATTCAAAATAATGCTGGAGTAAAAAAATAAAAAACAAAGTAGGTCAACCAATGTTGTAATTTAGCCGTTTGCAAAGGAGAATTTTTTGAAAGAGACCCATTTTGAAATATATTTAGAAGAAACAGCATTTTTGCTAAATACTTAGCAAAATCGACCTCTTTTTGGCTAGCTCACCAAGGCTAGTCAAAAAGAGGTCGATTTTGCAAAATGTGGGCTTAAAAAACACATGGGACTACTAGTCCCGTGTATTTAGGGCTGACTAATCAGCCAGTAAAATACACCCCAAAATTCTCATTGGACTAGAAGTCTCGTGAGTTTTCTGTGTAGTACCAGAAAACCAACAAGACTACTAGTCCCGTGGGTTCTCTGAACAGTCTCAGAAAACACACGGGACTAGCAGTCTCGTGTGTTTTACAAAGAGCTCCAAACATGCATGAAACATGCACGCTTCTATTCCGACTTATATCCTACATATGTATAATATTTCATGTGCATACAAAATTTTAATCCACCTCATATACGTATCTAAACAGTATAATCCTTATATAACTTATAAATTTTAAGAATTAGGCATAACTTAAAACACATATAATTAATCCAAAACATCACAATACAATAAATAACAGTCAACGGCAACACATCTTATATCCATACACTAAAATATTGCCACAAATCCAAATATATCAAGTATATTGATTTACAAATAGAGTCCATGCAAAAAATCTATTAAACTATCACATACACCTAAAAGTCGGCCCTTTCCCTTCGTACCCGCTCATATTGTTGTCGTCCTCCATCGACTTGAGCTTGTACAAGCTCACTCTCCGGTTGTGTGTGTGGCTTGACGGATCAACTTCATTATTGTGCATACAAGATCCATCTCGTCTTCATCTATTTGGTCAACGTGCATACAAGAGATCCTCCTCCTGCGTCATCTCCTCACAACCATCATGAACATACTCACGAGTTCAATGAAAAGCTCTACAAACCCTCCACACTATCCGCTGATATAGAGATGTATATACATAATCTCCTCCTAAGACGGAAAGTGCTAGGCCCTCATTAGCAATACCCTCAATACCTTCCATAGCATCTATCTGCAATTATGTAAAAATGTTATGTATTCAAATTGTAGTAATACCAAATAAAGACATCTAGATTATCTTTCCACTCAAGCAAATATTTCTTGCATAAGTATCACTTTTCTATGACTTTATTTTCTTTATAATTACAATCCATATTTATCCATGAGTAATTTTATTTTATATCTTGAAAGGTTCCTTTACATTGATTAAGTTGCTAAGTATCTACAAATCCCTTGAGCTTAATCTACAAACATTGAATTGATATATAAGCAAACTATAGTAATACCAAATAAATGGATTTACTAGTAAATTACTTACAAGTTCTCTCTCATCTACACCCCTTGGCACGTATCTCTCTTGTAGGGCATGTTGTTCTTATTCTTCGAGTGGAGCCATGGTCTGCATTACTATCCATCTTCTAGTAATCCCCCAATACCATCTGATATAATCTGATTCCTGTAGAGGAGGATTAATCTGCTCCACGATACTAAAATGCCGATCATTCCATCTCACAATGTACTGATGATAAGCATTTGCCCAATTTATCTGATGCCAACCTTTATTGGCCTTTCTCTTTATTCTTTCAACTCTTGGGGAACGTGTTATGCCAAACAAAACTGCCTAAGTATGCAATCCGGCATATACATCTCCACAATCTTAAAGCATATGAAATGAACTCTTGGTCTCTATATACCTTGCCCCTCTATGCAAATTAGTGGTGGATGCGGTAGGTGGTCACGGTATGACTGCCACTTGAACTAGAAAATATTTCACATATTAGTAACTCTTTAAAATAGATTGGTAGATTAAATTTTCTTAAATTAAAATTTAATATTGATAAATTTTCATGTGATCAAGCTCATTTCTGTAAAAGTCTAGCTATCTTGTCGAGGTCTCATCATAGCATTTTTGGACATTCCATCTACGTGAATGATCAAAGTTTAGCATCCAATATCGTAACTAAAATTCAAAATCAAGTTTGCATTAATTAGATTCAAAAGTGTTTACTTGCACCCCAGTAGAATATGTTTATCTAAAACTCCTGTCTCGTATAGTCTTGGTTTCAAAATGAGTCTCTCCCATGCCCAAACTTGTAACAAAGTTAGAAACCCTTGAGCTCTTTATTTTGCCTAAAAGTCACTTTCGACATTTTCCTACATAGGTATGCTAAAACAACACTACTCCATGATAATGTCCCGCAAGTGTCGAAGTTCTCGAGAAGTGGTAACCACCTATCATTTTAAAAATGTATTTAGTTCTATTCAAGTAAACAATCCAATTAGATAAATATTCAAATTACACATTGTATTACCTCAAATGCACTTTATCTTTACTAGAATCAGGGAGTAGAAGTGTCCCGATCAAGTACAAAATATATGCTCGTGTATGTTGTAGGATCATGACTTGGGATGCATCTTCTGACAATGGGTGTGAGAAAATATCTCTTAGCCACTTCAATCTAACATTCCCCCTAGACAACGAGGGTGGAGCTACTCCCAACAACTCCTCTATGCATGTCTATTTGTCCTTGTAACACAATGACCATCAATGTGGAGACCAAGGACTATCGTTATGTCTTGGAGAGTAATACTCGATTGGCCGATACGTAGATAAAAAATGTTAGTCTCTGGCCTCCATCCATCCATCCATCAATGCATTAAGTAGTGGCCAATCTAATATCATCCACTAAAGCGTCAAGCATGTGAGTAAATTGGCTTGGGCTACCGAGGTAATCATATGCTCATCCTCAAGTGGCCAACACGTATGTCCGAGGCTATGATCAACCATAACTAGCTCCGGTCCTCTCTACATAACAATGAAACATAATATTAGAGCATAACAGCGAAAAATAATATTAGATTATAAAAAAGGAATTACAATGATTTCGTGCATGCATGCCTCAAGATTTTCACATCTAAAAATGATATTGTCTCTGTTATGGTGTTCCCATTTTCGTAAAAATACAATTTAAACTCAAGTAGTTGACAAGTCTACTTTGATATACAATGCTACAGTTTCCCCTTATATTGCTCCGAGTCAAGACGAGCAAGCCTGTCTTCCAAGTCCTTGACAAGTGTCGCGGACGCTTGATGATTCGACTGCTCTTCTTCAAGATTGCGTCTCAACTGCTTGAATGAAAGATGACTCGATTGAGTATCTTCCTTGGCTGCCACCTTTAGGCGCCTCTCAAACTCCGCCTTCCCAGCCAAAACGGTCAATTGGCTATCTCGTTCGGTGACTTCTCGATGAAGATGACCAACCTCCCCCTTCAGTCGGGCCACATCACCTCTAAGCTCCACGATTAAGGATGCTTGTTTAGCACCTTGGGAGTGGAGTCCGTCAAGGACCCTATCCCTAGCATCCATTTCTCGGTTCTAGCAGGCCTCAACACCATTCAATTCGGCCTCCAAGATATCGACTCTCTTCTTCGCCTCTTCCTTGGCCGCCTTCTCCCTAGCTAGATCCGCTTGCCACTCTTGTGGAGAATCATACATATATTTGAGCCGCTCATACTGCTCTTGCTCCAATAGGGCCCTCGGACCAAGTGGGCTTTGAGAGCTAAATGCAAGCCAAAGCTTGACACCCTTTTCAAGACTCCCACATCCTTCGGCAGAGAGAATTGTTGCACGGCTATGATTGGAGCCGAGAGGGACCCCAGATTGAAGTCTTCCTATCAAGAGAGGCCAGAGGGATGAATTTTTCATCCTCAGAAAGTTCCCCTCTTGGTGAGCAAGGGCCGAGCGGCACTCTCACCAGCATTACCTTCACCTTCTCCTAATCTCAGAAATTTACATTTGAGATCCAGTGATGAAAGGGCCAAAAACCTTCTTGCCTTTCGGCAACTTCATACTCTTCAGTATCCTCGTCCCCTCTAGACTCAGAGTGGGGCACTGCTTGTTCCTCGTCCTCCCTAGTTGACTCGACCGGCTCTTTGCCCGGCCTATGAGACGACTCAAGATTGGAAGTTGGCTCATGGGCTTCTTCACCAGCAGCCCCGGCATTGGTGACTTCAGCTGTTGGGACAGTCTCCTCAAGCACAGGAGAGGGAGGGACATCAATAGCGATGACCTCGTCAGGCCGACTAGTTTGGGCGGCCGACTGCTGCTTGACCGATTGCTATTCTACAGTTGGTTTGACCCAACCTGACCTAGTCTCCTGTTCTGCAGCTGGTTGGACTTGGTGTTTGGTAGCTAATTTTTTGGTATGTCACCGTCCCCCTAGTCGGGTAGCGAGTTCAACCATTTGCGACCTCAGGTTGGTCGCTTCTTCGTGCTCTAGGAACCCCCTCAGCCTCTTCTAGGGCCTAGTAGCGGATCCCCACTCCTGGCCTCGAGACTCCATCTCATGACTTCCAGCAAGAGGAAGCGCTAGTAGACTCGTCGTAGTGTTGTTGGTTTCAGTTGGCAAGATCATTGAAATATGTACCACCCGGAGTGACATCGTGTCGAAGAGATTGCT